CTCAATGTTTATATTATTTTTAGCTGTAGAAGTTTATGAACTTGTCCAGGGACGAACTATGATTTTTTGGATGTGGTGAAGTATGTTAATGTCTGCTTGCAGCCGATCTTGTGTTTCTTTGCAACCGATTTTTGTTGTCCGCCGTTTGATCACGTAAGGTAGAGCGATATTTGCATGTATAGTATGAATATAATGCGCCGGATATAAGATAGGCGGATGCAGAGTGGCGGATAAGAGGGATGCCCGATCAGTGTCCACGAACGTTTGAGGGGCTGGATTTGCTAACTCCGATAGTAAATGCTCTAAAGCTATAGCAAAACCGAGATCGTGGGCTCGTGGCCACGACAACAAAACTGATGGGATTTGAAACAAGATGTGTACTAGCTAGCTATAGCTCGACCACACGGAGACGGAGGAGTCAAGATTTCCGAATGGAACGTAGAGATTGCTCCGAGCTGGGCAACGTTGGTGCATGCCTCGATCAGTGGTGGTGGGAGGTCCACCGGGTCAGGCTCTACTACGTACGTAATACTTCTGCGCACACTTGAACTGATCCACGTTTCAAAGTCGAGAAGCGGTAGCTGCATCTAGACTGGGCTGACCCGCGGCGTCGCGTGCTGCAGAATATTCCAACCTCGATCGTGTCTAGATAGATTTTGTGGAGCCACTCATCAACATGGAAAAACACGCACGAAATGTGTACTTTGCCGGGTGTTATGCAGCATTTATATATTTCTACTTCTATTACCCTCTCTAGGAAGTTTGTTTTTACAAGGTCAATGGAACAATTGACAGTCATGTAAGACGACACAAGCAGATGTATGATCGCCACCTTATTAATTTTATTTTTTGTAGGGGCAGCATCTACTACTCCATTCGGTCCATATTATTTGTTGTTGCTCCAGTACAACTTTGTAGTATATTAAAGTTGTGCTAAAGCAACGATTAATTAATTTGAATTGAAGGGAGTATTTTTTTTCTAAATCAGCGGCATCGGGTCGGATTCGATGTTAGGTGAATTACTTATACTATGCCACTCGATGTTAGGTGTACTTATACTATGCCACGTCGCGCGCTGGTCGTTGGACTTGAAATAATTGGTCTGATTTGTATTTATATTCTTCAAAGAATCCAAGCTCTCTGAGAATACCGGGCTGGGGTTGATTGGAACATTGGATGCATTGCGTGGGTCGCATTTGTTATTCAGTGTGTATCAATTGTTCCTCGTCTAGGTCCGTATGTCAGTTATTCACGGCATATCTTGCTTAAATGTACGATGATTTAACATTGTTACCTGATCTACTATATACATGGTATCTTGCAATCTCTCATGCACATTTGATGCTCGGAACTGTGGTTTGAACATATTATTCGCTGAGATCCCGTACACTACTTGAATTCATGATTTAATTATGCCCAAACTTGATACTATTATACTCGAGAACCATCTAGCATATATGTTTTCATACAGTCTTAGCACTTTATCAAGTTTTGTGCATATTAATAAACTACAGACAAATACCATACAAATATATTTGAACACACTAACGGATGGATGTTGAGTGACGCCATACTTTTTTTTCTTGGATTTAGAGTTAATTTTATCTTAACTAAATATTATCTCAAAGAACATTTAAAATACAAATAATCAACAAAATATAACTTAGTTATAGTTTTGGTGAAAAATATATTTTCAATTATTAATGCTAGAATTGCATGGAAATGTGTAAATTAATATATATGAATAATTATGTTCGTTCAACCAGTAAGACTTTAAAATGTTATTTTAGATGTAATTAAAATATCACCAAAAAAGAATAAATTTAATGGTGAATAAAAAAGTCCAGTGTTATGAATATATAAGAAGTTTGATAACAAGATCTAAATCGCAGTCGTTTAGGCAGCAGGAAGATCTATTGGCTTCCTCCCTCATATTAGTTACTCCCTCCGTTCCGACCTCATATTTGTCTAGATACGGATGTATCTAGACTCATTTTAGTACTAGATACCTCCGTATTTAAACAAATCTAAGACAAGTAATTCGGAACGGAGGGAGTATCTCTAAGCGTTACATTGATGGACAAATAAAGTACTTCCTGCAATTAATTAAATTCATGCTTCATCCAATCATCAACAAACAAGGTAGTAGTAGCAACACAAACAATGCGATAGATGCATAGTTGGTCTAATACGAGTATTTTGTTTTTTATGAAGACACCCCGCCCTGTATTTTGATTGTTTTTCATGTTCCTTGAACCGTCATCCCTTATTCTGCAAGGATGTCTCCGATAACAATGATAAGTTTGTTTGAACTAAAAAAATACAATCTCCAACCCTAGCGATTTTCCGGAAAGGTAGCTAGTGTGTTGTTTCGCGCATGATGTTTTAAGCGTGCTTTCCGATACACCCATTCACAAAACTAAAACCTTCTAAACTGGAGCGGATTAGAAACCGAGACTCGGCCGTACAAACCAACCAAAAGACGTATTACGAAAAGTAATTGGAAACTTCGCTTCCTGATATGAGAAACTGAATGGGAACCTAGGCGGAACCAAACATTTCTTCCCATGCAATTCAATGACCTGTTTCTAGACCATGTTTATCTGGGTTCTTTCGGCCCAAGTCTAGACAAACACCAAAATATTCACGTTTCTCTCTTTCTTTCCCATAGCTAACGTTTGCCTATTCTCGAAGCAATGAGCCTTATAAACCGGAAAACCAAATATGTTGAGATGAGACTAACCAACCAGATGAGGTGAGAGACCTAAAGTTTAGTTTGTATTCAAGTCGTGGTTGTGCCTTCCACTAGCTGTATGGTGGGAAGGGCACAACTATCGCGTCCGCCATGTGATACTGGCCTCTGCTTGATCAAAAAGTCGACAACAACATGGTATGCCTAGGCGTACTCTCAAGAAAAAGTCGACAACAATTCATAGAATTATTAGAAGAGTGAGGAAAGCAGGCAATTTATTCATTCTTCGTAGGTTTTTCATCCGATGACAGTTGCATTGTACCTAAGCCTTTTATTTGTTTCTCAAGTAGCGTTCAAGCGTCTGTAAACAAAAAAGTTTGAATCTAGCTAACACCTGGCAAACGCAAAAAAGGGAGAAGAATTTACATCTAACTATCCTACCAATCTGCTAGCTTACACATCCATCTATCCTACAATGTTTCTTTACACAAGTTGTGATTCAGGACAGCTTATTGAGCCCTCTGAAGTCCATGGCGTCGACGCATTCCCCTGCGCCCTTGTGCTTGTTGAGCATCCTGAGCAGCTCGGTGGTCTTCTCCTTGGTTGCGTCCCTGCAGCCAACCTGCAAGAGCAGCAGCAGCTTCTGGAAGGCTCCGACCCGCAGCGCCTCCACCAGGCATTTCGTCGCCGCGCCCTCGTCGCCGCCGGCGTTCTTGCCGAGCCTCCACATCGCCGAGACGGCGAGCTCGGTGGCCAGGTCGGACACGCGGAACATCTTCTTGACGAGGATGGGCACGGTGAGCGCGTGCATGCGCGCGCTCTCGCGGCCCTCCTCCGACGCGAGAACGGCGTCGAGCAACGCCAGCGCCTTCTCGGCCACGCTCTTGTCGGCGTCGACGAGGGACTCGACGAGCACCGGCACGAGACCGGTCCTGGCTACGCGCGCCGCGACGCGCTCGTCGGAGCGCGCCAGATGGTAGGCGGCGACCATGGCGGCCTTGGTGGCCTGTGGGCAGATGGGAGCCTTGATGATCTTGACCAGCGCGTCCACGATCTCTTCAGCCTTCCCGTTTAAACCTGTGCATGCTCCGTCGAACGAGGACACGACCTCCTTGATCGCCATCACGGCGTTGAGCCTTCCCGCCAAGCTTCCATTCTCGGCGATCGCGACCAACGAGCCCAGCGAGTGCGGCGATCCCAAGATCCTGGCGGCCTCCTCGTCCAACGGCGCCATGCGGACCAATGCCGCGAGAACGTCCTCAAGAACACCCCCGGCCGGCTCGCCGCCGCCCGCCGCTAGCGACTCGAGCGCCGCGGCGAGCACGCGGCCAGTGCCGATGGACGCGAAGCAGCGCCGGTTCCTCTCGCTCTCCCGGGCGAGGGCCCTGACCCTGGCGACCGCGGCGGCGCAGCGGGCGGGCGCGCCGCGGTCGCGGGCGCGCGCGGACTCGGCGACCTCGAAGAGGAGCTCGGAGGCCTGGACGGGGGTGACGGGGATCTTGGGCGTGGGGATGCGCTCGACGCCGCGGGAGCGGTTGGCGACGCACCAGTCCTGGATGACGCGGCGGATGGCGTGGTTGGGGACGAGGTCGTCGCGGCGGAGCGGGGCGTGGGTGACGGGGCAGACGGCGGCGCGGCCGGTGTCGAGCCACGCCTCGATGCTCTCCCGGTCGTAGGTGATCCCCGTGGGCGCCGTGACCGGGTCGCGCATGAGGTCGAGCGAGATCGGGCACCGGAAGTGCGCCGGGATGGACAGCTCCACCGCCACGGGCGGCGCCGCCGCCGCCTTGGTCGCCGCCCTCCTCGCCCTCCGTGCCAGCAGCGCCATGGATGGATCGGCCGAAGAGGTAGGTGGTGGTTCGATGGGTGAAGGGTGATGGAGACGATGGAGCAGAGCGGGCGTGTTGGGCGCGTGTGGTGTGGCGGGCAGCTGGGTGGGGTGGGGGTGGGGGTGTGAAGAGTTGAATACGAAGACTGGAGTGGTGGGAAGAAGGGTTCAAATAGGGGAGGGAGGGAACGGGAGAACGGAACGGAAGGAAGGGTAAAGGTTTGAATCGGGAAGGTTGACGTTGAATGGAACGCACCGATGTTCGCCTATGTTTGAATGAAAAGGGGGCGTAAGCCGCGGGTTGGTCATGCCTTACCGATGTTCACTTGTTTTTTCTCTTTTCTTTTGGACCTACCGATGTGCAGTTAGGTGCCAGCATGGCTTTCTTTTTTAGAGCAAAGCAACGTGAGCATGGCCTTCTTTCTTCCTTCAAATAGTAAAATGTATCAGCGATTTTTTTAGCCCAATGGGGTTTACAACAACATCGGAGCATCATCGATCTAGGGCGTAGGAGGAGGAAGAAGGGGAATGGAGGTTGTCTAGGCTGATGTTGGACCGAATATTCTTGATCCAACACATCGGCACATCCCGCATCTAGAG